CGAATGGTTAAAATTATTTAGCCATGTTTCCTCGTGGAAACCAAGAAAAAGATTATTAAATAAGATCAAACCTGAACTTAACAAACAATTACAGCATTATAACACTTTTCTAGCATTTTAGTTCACACCTTTAATTTCATGTTTGTTGTCACGCTGTAATTAGTACCCGCTTTTGTATTACATCATACTGTAAATATTTTATTCATCTACTTGTCTGTTATATAATTACTCAAGTTCAGTTACTCATTGATTGAAGATGGCATAAGCATGCCGAAACATGTCTCTAAAAAATGTTGTATATTTCTTACAATAATAATAAACTTTATTAATGAGTCAGGGGTATTTAGCATGAAGCTAATTGGGGACACAACTTGGAGTGTTGGTTTTTGCGGAGGGAGGAAAACCAGAGGACCTGGAGAAGAACCCTCGGAGCAAGGATGAGAATCAACAAACTCAACCCAGGTGACGCTAGGTCCAGGAATTGAACCCGGGCCACAGTGGTGGGAGGCGAGTGGTCTCACCACTACACCATCCCTGCCCCCCAACAGAAAATATATCTGAGGCCTGCAGTGAGGGTCCCCTATACTTTTTAGGTGAAACGTGATTGGGCAATTTTTTTTTCTTGTGAATCATGGTTTAAATATTTTTATAATTTGTGGACAAATTTTTAAATTCAAACGTGACCGGTGAATGAAGAGCAAAATAAAACGTTATTCGTGAGCTATTTTGTTTTGCGTGATGAATATCCGGCTATTTTATTGTTTTGAAAATGTACATATTGTTCTCGAACAGCTAACGTTAAGTTTTGACAGGACATCATATGGATCGATAGAAGTCACAAAACAGACCACGAATATGGGTCTTGAAGAAATGAAATAAACATCGCGTCGCGTAAAACTGGTCAATTTCTTTTAACAACCAGTTACGACCTCAGTGACACCACGTGCTCTGAAATTCAAGTTGCAATAAGCCTATAGCTATTGTAAATAACAGATTAGAGGGCGAGCACTTTCAAAATTTTTTGACGACATAATTCCGGGTGCAATTTGGTGTCATAAGCCGTTGTAAATTGTTCAAAGGCTACAAACTGCACTCGCCCGTGTCGTCTTTTACTCGTGCTTATGAACACCAAATTGCACTTGAAATCTGTTATTACCACTAGTACTAAACCACTAGTACTAATTTGCTTGGCATCCACTTCCGTTAAAAGAATAACAATGATAAGAAAAAGGCTGGGGCAGTTGAACAACGACCCAAAATAAGGTGAGCCCCTAAACAATAATGAACATACCAGTTGTCGTGCATTGAAAGGGGAGTTAGAATTCCATCCTCCATAAGTAACTTGACGAGTGCTTCGTTCTCTTCCTTGGATCCATCACATATGTACAGATCGTCTGGGTTGCACAGTTTGACTTTATCGGCAACGAAGTCTTGCACCTTAACGGGCAGCTCTTCAAACTTTCCTTTGATCACTGGGAAGTTTGGTGGGAGTTTTGAAGCCATCACGTAGCGGAAAACCCTTCTTTATATCTGGTCTCTCCAGAGATTTATAGATAAACTGAAATGCACGATGACAAAAGAACAGAAAACATCAAATTTGATATGAAACAAAAAAGCATAAGCTTTTGAGTAAAGAAGGAAAGACCTTGATGCAAGTTTTGAATCAAATTCACGCTGTTATTCTCACCTCAAAGGACTTGCAGAATATGCACAAAAACCTAAATCCAATGTGTGAAAAACTTCGGAAGAGTGTGTCTAATTTGATTTGATTGGTCAATTGCAAGCACGTGAACGTGCGTTTTCCAACGTTTTCCTTGAATTCGTGCAGAGTTGCACGCAATCGATCATGCACGTAATCGACACTGGAAACTTTTGCTTTTGCTCTATTCTTTCACGATCCAATTCATCATTTAAAAAGAAATAAGATCTTCCTCGATTGGTGTGTTTTCTGAACTGCTCACGCAAAAGTTAGATCAGCGTGTGCGATGACACGAAGCACACCAGTTGCGTTATCCCAGGCACGTTTTCAACCAAATTTATAGGTCCGCTTAGCGGCCAGAATGTTGACTTGTCACCAAGAACTTCTGATATTCAATAAGCTCATGTGCATGCCAGATCTCCTCTGAATTGACATTAAACAGCTAACTATAATAGAAAGTTGTCTTTTCACCAGTAAAGATAGCCAACGGCAAGTAAAAAATAACAATTATACGGTATAATTGTATATTTTTCTTGCATCATCTTGAATAACACTTCTAATTCGTTTATGTTTTTTTTTTTTTTTTCTTTTTCTTTTTCTTAGCTTATTTCTTATTTCCCATTTATTTTATTTTGATTTCTTTATTTTTTGGATTTGCGCGTTCGACTCATTTCGACCCAGGAAGGTACCCCGGGTAAGAGAATATTTGTAAAAATCCATTGAAAACAGTGAAGATGTACGGTATCGACGATCTAGTCAAGTCGATGAGTTTACCCGGGGTACCTTAGTATGTGTGAAGACTTCGTGTTAGATGACTATGGGGAGGACCCGTTGAGAGAGATTTGACTAGGTTTCAGGTTGACCGCGCATTAACGGTCTCTCAGCTGCACAAGAAGTTCCTTCCACGCATTAGAAGAATTCCGAACGGCCGTTAATTTGAAATTCTCGCTGAATTGGTTGCTCGACAAACCGACTTTTGTGGGATTTTTTTCGGTGAACTTAAAGGGAAACTATTTGGCTTTCGTGCTACCGAGTTTTGATTCGAGGGAAAGTATTTAAGTGTTGTTTTCGAGCGATTTTGGCGAGCATGTGTCAACAGAAGTTTCCGACCTT